GCCCAGAAAAAAGCCCCGCCCAGGGAAAGACCCGCCCAGATAAAAGTCCCGTCCAGAGAAAGCTCTGCCCAGAAAAAAGAACTGCCCAGGGAAAGCCCAGCCCAGAAAAAAGCCCCGCCCAGGGAAAGCCCCGCCCAGAAAAAGGACCAGCCCAGGGAAAGCCCTACCCAGAAAAAAGCCCCGCCCAGGGAAAGCCCCACCCAGAAAAGAAGCCCCGCCCAGGGAAAACTCCGCCCCAAAGAAAGCCCCGCCCAGGGAAAGCTCCGCCCAGAAAAAAGACCAACTCAGGAAAAGCCCAGCCCAGAAGAAAGCCCCGCCAAGGGGAAGCCCCGCCCAGGGAAAGCCCCGCCCAGAGAAAGCCCCACCCAGAGAAAGCCCCACCCAGAGAAAGCCGCACCCAGGGAAGGCCCTACCCAGGAAAGCCCCACCCAGGGAAGGCCCCGCCCAGGGAAAGCTCCTCCCAGAAACGTCCCACCCGGGGAAAGCCGCTACGAGGAAAAAGCCCCGCCCAGAAAAAGCACCACCCAGGGAAAGCCCCGCCCAGAAAAAACCCTCTCTGAGAAAAAGTCCAGCCCAGCAAAAGCCCAGCCAGACTCTCAGAAGTTAATTTTCTTTTTTCGCTGTTTTGAGACGGAGGCTTGCTCTGTCCCCCAGGCTGCAATGCCGTAGCACAATCTCAGCTCACTGCAATCTCTGCCTCCCGGATTCAAGCGATTCTCCTGCCTCAGCCTCTCAAGTAGCTGAGACTACAGACACACGCCACCACACCGGGCTAATTTTCATATTTTTAGTAGAGACGGGGTTTCACCATATTGGCCAGGCTGGTCTCGAACTTGTGGCCTCTTTTTTTTTTTTTTTGAAACGGAGCCTCATTCTGTCACCCAGGTTGGAGTGCAGTGGCTCGATCTCGGCTCATTGCAAGCTCCACCTCCCGGGTTCACGCCATTCTCCTGCCTCAGCCTCCCAAGTAACTGGGACTACAGGCACCTGACCCCACGCCTGGCTACTTTTTTGTATTTAGAGTAGAGACGGGGTTTCAACGTGTCAGCCAGGATGGTCTTGATCTCCTGACCTTGTGA